GGCTGCAATGATGGGCTCAAGTATAGCAGGGATTGTGGGGCTGGCGTGGGATCAGGCAGTGTTTGTTCTGCTGTGCATGGGGTCTCTATGTGTCGGAAACGACTCGACGGCACTTAACAACAACAACAATGGCTGATATTTCAGAAGTAGGATGCCAGGCCTTTCTTCTGAGGTACCTCTGGGTGGACTAAAACCAAAACTTTTCAGTTAGTGGCAGAGCAAATGAACTGCTTGTACCATCAAGGTGTGGAAAAAGTCCAGCCAAATAAAAGACAGGCATATCAGCTGAACATTTACATTAGGTAGATACACTCCTTAGAGAGATCAATCATGGGAGAATAGAAGGGCTGTGTACACACATGGAGACAGCTCAAGGGGAAGGAGTGCATGGGAGGAAAGGGCACAGGGAAATGGTAACTATGGGGAGGAAGTGGGAGGGGAGCTGTTGCATTGTGGAAAATTATGGTCAATGTCATGAGACAAAGTGTATGTGAGCTGCTGTATGGGAAATGAATATTCTGTGTAAACTTTGTAACCCAAATCACAATAAAAAATTTAAAAAAAAAAAGGATTTGGAAAAAGTTAAAACTGGATTATTTCTCATATTGCACAGCCAGATAAATTCTAAATGGATCACGATGTAAATGCAAAAAATAAAATCCATTCAAGTATTACAAGAAAGAATGGGTAGATTTTCTCATAACTGGGAGAAAAACGTTCCTAATTATGACTCAAAGCCTAGAAATAATAAGGGAAAAGACTGACACATTAAAAACTAAACTCTTCTGCATGGCAAAAAAATAACAATTATTTTTCCAAAGATAAATGTTAAATTGGGAATTACTATTTCCAAATCATGAAACAGGTAAAAGGCCAAAATCTTCAATCTCCAAAGAGCTCCTAAAGATGGAGAAGATAAAGACCAATAACCTGATACTTACAGAAATACTGGCAAAAGATATGGACAGTTCACAATAAAAGAGAAGAAAATTAAAAAGGACATTTAAAACTCAGTGAGCTTGTTATCATTGTTATTTTGGAACTATTTCTATTTATCATAGAATAAAACAAGTATTTTTGCTAATGTAAGGAACCACTCAAGAGAACAGATACAAAGGAAAATCAAAGATGTTACAAAGGAAAATCAAGGATGTAATGCCCTGCGATCTTTAAAACTGGAAATAACAATATGAACTCCAGATTCACCTTCCCTTTGATACACATTTCCTAGCTTTGCAAGGAGCCCAGAAGTAGTGACAATCCAGTGTCAACAATACTCCTAGTCTCCAGAGGGTTTATTAAGCCCTCAGTAAAGGCGACCAGTGCTCCTTGGAAAAATTTCATGCCTACCACAGGCAGTACACAGGATAAGCCCAGACATCAAGTCTTGAGGGTAAGGATTCTATCCCCAATTACTAGGTCAAGGCAAGAACTTTCCTCTGAGTAAAGATACAACAGTTGGAGCAAAAACAACAAACAGGAACTATAATGGACTGAAATGTATTAAATATAAGAAAATTCATAATTTTCTACTGATACCAAGAAAAAAAAAAAAAAAAAAAAACTCCAACAAGGGTCCCTCTGGAGGTTGCTGGGCACAAACTCTTTATATCAAAATGGATTCATGAAAAGAACAGGATCAAGAAATACCCCGCTTTTACTATTTTTGTTTGGTATGTACCGTCGAGTCGGACCCGACTCATAGCGACCCCTCCTTGGGTTTCCAAGGCAGTATCACTATGGAAGTAGATTGCCCAACCTTCCTTCTGAGGAGTGGCTGGGGGGTTTAACTGCCAGCCTTTACTATAGTGACTTGTATTTTAGCATAACCAAATAATTGATGAAAACTCTTTTATTGAAGAATCAAAAGTAATAAAAGAGTAACACGAAAATAAAAAAATTAAGAAATTAGAAAATTACTGGATCAAGGCAATGATTATCAATGACTTCCAAAACTATGAGATAAAATGTTGCTAGGCACAAACACTACCAGCCCCAATCATGTATACAGCCCCCAGAGCTGAAACCTGACAATACGCACCACTTAGAAAATACTCTTGTCAGAAAAACCAATCCTGTATCTAGTTAGGCCTTGATCCTTACAAAAAAACTGGGGCATAGAGCAAAACGTTAAATACAATCTCAGAGATACCTGTATAATCAAATAAATGACATTAAAGAAAGGAAAGAGGAACTATTCTCCATTAAAGGAGCTCAGTCAACATATGTGTTTGATCTGTGAAGATCCTGATACAAAACAACCATTTGTGAAATGCCACTTTTGCCATGTTGCAGAAAATGGAACACTGCTGCATATAGGATAAGAAATTACTGCTACCATTGCTGGGTGTTATACAGTAAGTCCCCAGGGTTACAAATGTACATACATTTTAACAAGATGTATATATACACATGAATGACCGGGGGTTGGGGGGATTGGGGGTGGGGATCACGCTAAAATGGAGATTCTGATTAGTACATGTGGGGTGGAAAAGCAAATTCTCAGCAGGGAGTCAAACCAGAATGAACCAGCTTGAAGCCCTGCTTTGATACAACTGAATCAACCCATTATCTTACCGTGAACAAACTAAAGTTGCAGTTTGACAGCCTGCAGCTTTTCCCATTAAATAGTGGGATCCGTTTCCCACCCCTGAACCTAGGTTAGCCTTATGACTTGACCACAGAATGTGGTGGAAGTGCGCATGAGTCCTGGAGCCTGGGTCCAGAAGATCTAGGGACTTTTTTCTCATTTCCTCAGAATACCATCCAAGCTGTGATAGTTATGTGTCAACTTGGCTGGGTCTGGTTTTGAGTGGCTGGGCAGCTGGATGTAGTTATTGCCCATGATGAGACTGGTAATCAACTGCATGGTGGAATCTGCTGTGAGCAGCTGAGTAGCTGCCAAAGGGATGTGGTCTGTTTCCAGTATATAAGAAGACACTTTGAGAAGGGTCTTCAGCTTCTTGAAACATTTCGATCCTGCACTCAGCTGAGTTATCAGTGAGTGGCTTGCCATGCTACCTGCTGACCTTGGGACTATTTCTGGACTTGAACTAGTGGCCTGCTGGGTTGCTTATCTTTGGACTGTGCCATTTTACTTATCAACCTTGAGTTTGTCAGCCTCAGCAGCCAGTAGCTGGCTGAGTTGAGAGACACCTTTAGCTTCAGTGGGCTGGGACAAGAGGCAGAGCTGAAGCCCAAGGTCAAGGGACCTTTACACAGCTGCCAGAGCTGGCACTCTGAACTCAGACTTCTAGCCTTCTAAATTGTAAGAGAATAAATGCCTGTTTGTTAAACTCATACATTTGTAGAATTATCTGTTAGAGTGATACTAGAAAACCAAAACAAAGCCCTTCACTTACAGAGGCTAGTGTGGCATACTAGAGGAGAGGAGACCCATGGGAAAAAAAGGTGCCATGGCCAATGGCCAGAAGTGACTGCCAATCACATGAGGGAGGCTGCTGGACCTCACACAAACCAACCATCACCACTGGCTGAGTGATCCCACCTTATCTTTTTCTTTTACTGTATGTAGTGAAGTATCTTGGGCTATCCTCTGTCTCAACTAATATGTAAAACAGTAAAACTATAGAGGATGTTTGTGAACATTAAATAATACACATAAAAATTGAGAAAATTTCTGGCACATGGCTTGTTTTACAATATCTCGAATAAAAGGTGCCGCCCGTATTTTACCGTGAACAATCTTCAGGATAACGCTGTCCTACTGCTTCTTGGAGTTGGGCATTGAGAAAGGACACATTCTGCCAGGTTTCCTTTTCTCTTATTTTATCAAAAATTGATGTATAGAAGTCATACATGGTATCTCCACCTTCCATTAAGAAAAAATTTCTCATGGCCTGCAAGTACTCTACCAACCTGAATGGGGAGAAAATAAACAACAAAAAGATCTAAAGTTCAAAAGACAGGATTCTTAATCAATACCAGATTTTGTACACTACCATTTCAAGTGAAACAGGTTTACATTCTACATTTACTAAAGTTAGAAATATTAATACATCCAAAATTCTATTTTAAAATAATAAAAATAGTATATGTTCTACTTTAATAATCAGAAATAAATGTTACCTTTCTACAACATTGCAGAAAACTTTGCAAAGTCACAAAAGTGTAATGAAAAAAAAATTTCATCCAAATCCGACCATCCATGGTAAATTTCCACTACTAATATTTAGGGTATTTCTTTCAGCTTTTTTTCCTATGCATTTTTAAAAAGTATAGTTGCTACCACATTATATCTTGTTTTTTAAACTTTAGGCACGTTTTATGTAATTCACTCTTTATAAACCTCACTTGTACTAATTTTATAAGGTCCATCATACAGATATACCATAATTTAAAGAACTAGTCATCCATCACTAACCACTTAAATAATGTCACATTTATAGCATACAGTAAACTCTGTTATGGGCATTTTTGTGGAATAAGCTTTCCTGTGTTTCTTTTGGGGTAGATTCTAAGGAACAAACAAAGAAATTAAATATCAGAACACAGTTAAACAAATCCACTTGAAATAAAATGATTTTCTTGAAAGAAAATTGTTTACTGCATATTCCATTTCCTATTCTAATAAAAACTAACTCGAAATATAGATTTTTAAATAATTTCATCAACCATTCTTAAAATACAATAAACTACTATTTCTTTAACAAATTTACTCTTCTTTACCTGTAATCTTTTTTTAGAGTATGCATGAGATTTCCACAGCAATCTAGATATTGTTTATCAATATGTGGGTAGAGGCAAGATCTCAGCGTTAATTCGAAAGTCTGGCATGTCACAGATTCTGATGATCTATCCACACAGATATCACCACCAGCAAACTTATCATGAAAGTCACTTTGTTCCAAATACAACCTTTAAGATAAAATTGTGAATCTTCTTTTCATGAGATACTATCAACAGAACCCAAAGTTAAAAAGCAAACATATCGCTTTGAGGACTAAGGTGAACCTGTTCCAAGCCACAGTATTTTCAATAGACTTAGATGCATATGAAAGCTAGACAATGAATAGAAAAGACCACAGAAGAAATGATGCATTTAAATTGTGGTGATGGCAAAAAATTCTAAAAGTACCATGCACTGCTAGAAGAACCAATGAATTTGGCTTGAAGTATAGCTGGAAGGCTCCTTAGAAGGAAGAATGGGCAGACTCCGTCTCTCATACTTTGGTCATGCTGTCAGAAGGGACCAGTCCCCAGAGAAGGATGTCATGCTAGGGAAAGTAGAGGGTCAGCAAGAAAGGGGAAGACCCTCAACAAGATGGAATGACACAGTGGCTGTGATAATGGGCTCAAGCATGGCAACAACTATGAGGATGGTGCAGGACCATGCAGTGTTTCTTTCTGTTGCACACAGGATCACTAAGGGTCTAAATCAACAGCACTTAACAATAACAAACACTGTACAAGTTTCCACCATTTCAATTGTCAAGAAATTTACAATTATGCATAACCTTGCAAAGTTAATAGCCAGCAAAGGGTCATGAACATCATCCAGTTCAAGGTGTCTTTCCGCAATGGACTGCATCTTAATTAGGCACTCTTCGGTTGTCTGTTGCTCAGTAAGGATACGTGGAGGGTAATCTTCTCCATGCCGAAGACGAGATTGCAAAGATTCCAAAAAAAGGTTATACAGACTTTTTCTATCTGCATCTGAAATATAAAGAAAAATACAATGAAAACTAAGTTGTGGCAAATAATATTAAGAAACATTAAATAATTTCACTGGCAAGTTTTCCTTTGGCATATAAAGGTCTATCTGTTTCTTTACCTAGACTATACATTTTTATATTCTGTTTAACAAAGTTCATATTAATATCAAAAAGTGTAACCTGATTGTTTTTCTGAATGGAGTAACACCCTACATAAGAGTATTGAAAGTTACCACAATGTTGTTGTTGTTAGCTGCCGTACATAGCATTATAACACTAGTAGGAGTCATCATAATTTCATTGGGAACAAATGCTTCTCACAGTGGTCCTGGAAAGGTCATTTGATCATTCAATAAAAACAGAAACAATCCTTCTTTAAAGGCGATATAATGAAGCAAAAAAAATTAGTGTAACATTAAAGTGACTTACAAACAAAGTCATATGTATGTCATTAAAACTTTTAAAATCAGTTAATAAAATGTTATTGCTTAAATTACATCAACAAATATCAGAAAACATATTAAGATTTTCTCCAAATTTGTGATCAAATCTGAACTACTCATCAACAAATTCGTATCTGTCATTTAGTGGTCCTCAAGACCTAAATGCAGGAGAATTCTTTTTTAAACGATCAAACTTAGGAAATCAAGGGTAAGTGAAATACAGGCAGTCCTCAGGTTATGAACATCTAAGTCCAACTTATGAGTCCAACTTACGGACAACTCCTACTTGCCCTTTAATGGTATGTAATATTGCTCTCACTTTAAAATGACTGAACCAAAACTTACTGGCAACAAACTCTTCATCACAGTCATCTTTACTTGCTGCATGTACAGTTTTTAAATCACTGAAAAGGCTTCCAGCTTTTTCTTGCACTTAAGTAATGCTAAATAAGAACCCTATACACCTATTTCAACTTACCGACAAATCTGACTTAAAGATAGTTACAAAAGATCTTGTTTGTAACCTGGGAACCGCCTGCACATGTAAAACTTATTATCACTGGCTTCTCAGATAGTTTCCAATGAAAACAAATCCTTTTTTCAATCAAGAGCAGCATCACCTAATTTGACCATAGTGATGATTTCCATTAATATAACAGGCTTTGAGAATTTCAAAAGTATAATGATTACATACTCAGGATGACAAGAGTAAATAGAGTAGTCATCAAGATGATGAGGTTAGATACATGAGGAAAGGACATGCTACCTCTTGCCACTGCCTGGCACCTGGAGCTCTCCACACACTGAAGATTCTTCAGTAGCTGCATCGACTTGCCAGCCATTATGATCTGCTTCAGAACAGGTTTGAGGAAGGATACCATGGTGTGCTGCCTGCTGGAAGGTCCCTGGTCACTACCAGAACTTGCACTAGCGTTATCACTCATTTTTTCTTCATTTTCGGACTTTTCTGACACACTGTACAATGTGTAAGTTGCATACCAAAAGTCTCTATGATTTACTGGAACATTTTTGTTTCTACAGAGATTCAAAAGAATTTTGAATTTAAACTTTTTGTTCTTAAAAAAAAAACCCAAAAGCAGTAATAATATTCTAGTTTAGGCATGTTTTACAGACATTCCAAAACACAGTAATATCAGATATCAGTGAGACAAACCATTTATTATTGGAAAAATATATGCTACTGTTGTTAGCTGTTGTCAGCTTGGGCCCCAACTCATGTAGAAATGCCTCTGCTGAATCTATCCTTGGTCTGGAGAATATGGCTGCTCACTGAGCCCCATCTGATCCTCTCAGGTGTCTGTGTTTATCTGTAACCTGGTGTATGGTGTTAATGGTAATGCAGTATTGTGGATACACTGGTTGGTATTAGCATCTGTTGTCTACCTCTTATGTGTACAATTCGGTGTCCTTTCATTTCCTAATGTCATCAAGGTGGTCACAAACCCTTTCCGTATATCCCTCCCCTTACTCACATCAGTGTGTGAGCCCCAGTGAGCCCAAAATTAACCCCTCTCCTTCCTTCCCTATCCTGGTAACCTATAAAGTGAGTTCCCTTTCCCAAGCAAACCCTTCTTTATCTTTCTATACTAATGGGCTCATAAAGTACTTGTCTTTCTGCAACTGACTTATTTCACTCAGCATAATGTCCTCCAGGTTCACCCATGTTGTGAGATGATTGGCGTATCCCTCACTGTTCTTAATGTAGATAGTATTCCATTGTATGCATGTACCATAATTTGGTTATCCACTCATCTGTTGATGGGCATGTAGGTTGTTTCCATCTCTTTGCTTTAGTGAATTGTGCTGCGATGAACACAGGTGTACATATGTCTGTTCGTGCACTATCTCTCACCTCTTTAGGATATATTCCTAGTCATGGAATTGCTGGGTCAAATGGTACCTCTATTTTCAGTTTTTTAAAGAAATGCCATTCCGTATGTCACAATGGCTATACCATTTTACGATCCAACCAGCAGTGCACAAGAGTTCCAATCTCTCAACAACCCCACCAGCATTTGTTATTTTCTGACTGGTTGAAATTTGCTATTATTGCTGGTGTGAGATGTTATCTCATTGTTGTTTTGATTTGCATGTCTCTTATGATTAATGATCATGACCAATTTCTCATGTGTTTGTTGGCTGCCTATGTATCTTCTTTAGTGAACTGTCTGTTCAAGTCTTTTGCCCATTTGTGAGTTGGATTATTCGTCCTTTTGGTATTGAGGTGATGAAGTTTTCTATAGATTTTGGAGGTAAGTCTTTTATCAGACAGGCAACTATTTTCTCCCAATATATAGGTTCTCTTTTTATCCTTTTGACGAAGTCTTTCGATCCACATAAGAATTTAATTTTTAAAAGGCCCCAGTCATCTAGCTTCTCTTGTACCTTGTGCACATTCTGGGTTATGCTTGATAGTCTATTTATGCCATAAATTAGGGCTCCCAGATTTGCCCCTATTTTATTTTTGATGAATTTTATAGTTTTGGGTTTTACATTTAAATCTTTAATCCAGCTTGAGTTTGTTTTTGTGTATGGAGTGAGGTATGGGTCCTGTTTCACTTTTCTGCAGGTGGATATCCAGTTTTGCCAGCACTACTTGTTAAAGAGGCTGTCTCCTCCCCATTTAATGGGTTTTGGACCTTTGTCAAAGATCAGCTGTCCATAGATTGGTGGGTCTGGATCTGGACTTTCAATTCTGTTTATTGGTCTATCTGTCCATCATTGTACCAATACTATGCTGTTTTGACTACTACGGTTATATAGTAGTTCTTGAGGTCCGGGAGTGTGAGACCTCCCACTTTGTTCTTCTTCTTCAGAAGTGCCCTGCTTATCCAAGGTCTCTTTCCTTTCCATATGTAGTAATTGGTTTTTCCATGTCCTTAAAAAATATTGTTAGAACCTGGATTGGGATTGCATTAAATGTGTAGATTGCTTTAGATAGTATTGAGATTTTCACAATGTTTAGTCTACCTATCCATGAACAAGGTAGGTTCTTCCATTTATATAGTGCCCTTGTTGTCTCTTGTAGCAGTGTGTTTTATAGTTTTCTTTGTATAGGTCTTCTGTGTCTCTGGTGAGGTTTATTCCTAGATATTTTATCATTTTCCTAGCTATAGGAAATGGTATTGTTTCCCTTATTTCTTTATCAGAGGGCTTTTTTTTGGTGTAGAGAAATCCAGCTGATTTTTGTATGTTGACCTTGTATCCTGCCACTTTGCTGAACCTCTCTATTAGTTCCAGTAGTTTTTTTATTGAGTCCCTTGGGTTTTCTATGTACAGGATCATATCATCCACAAATAGAGATAGTTTTAGTTGCTCTTTGCCAATTTGTCTGCCTTTTATTTCTCTTTCTTGCCTTATTGCCCTGGCCAGGACTTCCAATACAATGTTAAACAGAAGTGGTGACAGAGGGCATAGCTGTCTGGTTCCAGAGGAAAAGGTATTTTTAATTATCTGGTAACCTAAAGTTTCCTATTAAAATGCAAAAAACAAAACAAAACAAAAGAAATCCCAAAAACTTGCTATGGTGACAACACAGCTCTGTCATTTGAATTGCTCTCAGTGGTATATGCAACTAATCAAAGCACATGATTTCTATGTGAGAAAAAACACATAAAACTAGCACCAGTGGACTTCTTCCTACACTATATGTAGTTCTGAACCTTACCTCTGGATGATGAACTCCTTTGCACAGTCAAAAAGGTGCCCGTGTACTATCCACTCATCCACAGTCTGCAGGTAAGGCCGTACTGTTTCTACCCAGAGGAAGAACAGAAGGGAGACCTGCAGATGAGAGTGTGGATAGTTAACTTTAGGGGACTTCTCTGTCACTAGATAAAATGATGTTTAAATATTTCTGAAACTCCTTTTCAAAAGTGACCTAGATTCTACTTTTTTGAAACAAAGTAAGAAACTAATGGTCTAATACTATACATTATAAAATCCTATTTAAAAATTCACCTAAATCTGGGATGACAATATTGTTTCAACTTCATACCAGGACTCTCTTAAGAATGTAAATTACACAGGGACAACAGTCATAAACTAGGGCAGTCCAGGTAAACTGGGATATGTTTCCTGTCTAAATATTACTATGAGCAAATTGTTTATTATGAATGGAAAAACTCTGCTATAGTTTCCAGTTGGAATAAAAACTGTAACAACTTCTTTATTTTAAACTGCAATATCAAACTAGTTTAACAAAAAGTTATACCAACACACTTGTACTAAAAAATGTTCTCAAACATGCAATTTTCAAGATGACAGTCTCTAGTTAGATTTGTATTTTTAAGAAAGGGTTACTGCAAATATTAATATAAGTCATGTAGGTGTTTTTCATGTGTTACTTTCCTTTGCATCATCCTTCTAGTGATCTTGGCAATTTGAGCTGCAAAACCAATTTCCTACAGCCTTCTGTTTGGGAGGGTGCTCACACAGGGTCCCTGTGTAGATGAACTCTGATAAACTCTAACTCTGAAGCCAATTTTAAATCTTTGAACAACTTTCTGACACACTGACTTAAGTATCCTTTGTACAAAGAAGTATGACAGGCTACTCCTTTGTACTCCTTTGTACTCCTTTGACTACACAGAATGGAGTCACACATTTTAGATTAGACAGTGGTCCCACATACAGTTTGCTCTGAGGCTTCTCCAACACTGTCATATTCAAGAATGGCTTTGTACAGTGTGTTGAGTAGATGAGATGCCCGAACAACATTTCGTGTGTCAGGTGGAACTTCAGCTACTCCAGTGCTAAATACTTTGTGCAGAACCTTGAGCTGAGCCAGTCGAGGTGATAATCTGTCCACCACTATAGAAAGAGTTACTGTAGTATCTGCAAATATTAATAAATCAAACTCAATAGCAAGGAAAAATACATGCATTTGAAATTTGATATAAATGCTAAGCTGTTTATGAAAACATACATGATAAACTAGAGGGTAGTGGGTTTTAATCTCATATTACAAATGTCCCTAATGAAAAAAGAAATCCTGAAAGTCAAGGTGAAACAAGTAATTCAGCAGAAAAGTAATGTATAAAAGAACTGACAGTTCACAATAAAGGAAATACAAATGATTCTTAAATGCATAAAAACATAAATAAAATAATAATACATAAATAATAAATAAAATGCAAATTGAAATTACACTGGGTAAAACACAAACAAACTCCACTTGGCTACCATTCTAGTTAGGGAAGGTGGGGGAGGGTATGACTACAAAGGGGCAGCATGAGCAAATTCCTCTGTGGTGATGGCACAGTTCTGTATCTTGAATACAGAGGTGATCATGCAACCTTACATGTGATGAAATGTCACAGAAGTATACACCAAGAAATACTGTTCCTCCTCAAAAAAGCAAAATACAACAACAGGTACCCATACATACTGGTGAAATCCAAGCAAGGTCTATAGTCTAGCTGATGTGTTGGGCCAATATCAATTTCCTAGTTTTGACAATAGACTATAATTACATGTCACCAATTGTGGAGCTGTATGATGAGAACATGGGATCATTCTGTATTATTTTTGCAGTAGTTGAAAATAAAAATTCAAAGGGGAAAAGTACAGATAGAGAAGACCAAAAAGTTTGATAACATACTGGTGGTGAGAGTATGTGGAAACAGGCAGTCATATACATTGCTGGCAAGAGTGTACATTTAAATAAATATGTACCCTCCTGGAGAGTGACGTATCAATATCTATCAAAATCATAAATGCACATATTCTTTGATCCAACTATTTTATTTTTAAGAATTTATCTTATAGGTAACCTGACTGCCTATGTGTACAACTACTTAATAAGTAATTACTTGGTAAGTGGTTATCATCACAGCACTGTTGGCAATAGCAAAAAATTCAGAAACAATCTAGATGTCCATTTCAAGAAGAGATTAGTCTATGATACATCCATATAATGAAACACTAACATCAGTAAAAAAAGGATGAAGAGGCTAATTATTTCTTTGTATAGTATAATCTTCAAAATATAAATTAGAAAGCAATTTGAGGAGAATAGTTCATACATTACTAGGTATGTATGCATTATGTATATGCATTTACTAGAAGGATGCACAACAAACTTATTACCTCGAGGAAGGGAGACTGAATAGCTGGGGAAATGGAACAGAAGAATAATTTCCACTGTAACTTCTCTTGTATTTTTTGATTTTTAGAGATATAAATGGTTTACCAAATAAATTTACAATAGTAATAAATAATGTGTGCATTTACTTATTTGCCATGTAACTTTTAAATATTTTATCAGTTAATAACTTAAATGGCATGCAGAGTTGTGTGTCTTATGAGAAAAAGTAAAGAACATTTAAATACCATTATTGATGATATACTTCTCAATTTCCGTAAGTTCCTCTTTGAAACTAATGAAGTATTTGTACAGGGCCCACATGAAAGCCTGGTAGGTCCTAAAGGGAGCTTCAGTAGACTTCTTAGGAATGGAACTATTTTCAGGTAATATATGGTCAGAACTGTGCCTCATGACTTCATCGATGAACTCCTGGAGTCGAAACACAACCTGGCCATATGCTGCTATTTGTTCTAGCACTGATCGTAAACAGTTCTATAATATAAGCAAACCGTTATTATGTAAAATCAACCCTCTACAAACAAGCAAACTCATTTCCCTCTAACTTTACAATATTTCCCTTGTGACTTGTTGTATGCTTAGCAAAACAAAGTAGTAAAAAGATTAAAATTCAGTTTTATATTCAAAGTAAAAAGAGAAGGCATTAGTTGACACAGAATATGGATATGGAGTTTATACTTTTTTTAAGCACACATAAGGTTATAGTACCATAATAAAAAGAAATTACAGTGTACAGTTTTCTGATGATTTCAGTATCTTAAAAATTTATTAGCCTTTCTCAGTATAAAATGCCAGAAATAAAAACAAAAATATGCAAATCAAAACTCAGTATGAACTTTATAAACAAAATTAAAGAATTCTAAAGAATGTATAGATCCACAATTTAGCTTTTTCAATTTTAAATACACTTAATAGTTAATTTTAAAATCATAGAACATTTTAAAATTATATTACCATGCTTTACACATATTTAATTTTCTAATTACAATAAATTCAAATAACTTACATGTGTCAAATGAGTTAGTACAATGTTCTTTCTCACAGTTATCTTCCCATCTATTAACTGAAATATAAAGAGCTTTTTTACCCCAGAAAGTAACCTGAAATGACATAGAAAGATAAATATACTTTTAAGGCTGGAAAAATATTCATTATAGTATTGTCTAAGAAATTTTAATAAGAGATCCAGAATTTAGGGCAAAAAAGAATACACAATTCCAAAGGTTAGATACTAAGAAAATGGAAGACATCTTTGTTATCTGATTTTTCTTAAGCTTCAAGATATTTTAATATCCAGGAGAGAAAATGCACTGCCATCGATTCAGAGCTGACTCATAGTGACCCCTCCTTGGGTTCCGAGGCTGTATCACTACGGAAATAGTTTGCCCAACCTTCCTTCCAAGGAGTGGCCAATGGGTTTGAACCACCAGACTGGTTAGCAGTCAGATGCCTTAGGCACTACGCTACCAGAGCTGGGGACGGATCCAAAAAAAAAATCTGAAAGCATATCCATCTACAAACTTGATAACCCTAACAGATCTTTCAATTTTAGGGAATATCAATAGTAGGTCTTATGGCAGAAAGCAGTAAAATCTAGAAAACTCAAAAGTAACAATACCACGTGTTACATTTTTTCATTTTTCATGTGAATATAATCTAAATTCTCGGAGATGTTTCAGGTTCAGGATAATACTCTATTAAAACTAATAAGCAGCAATCTAGAAACATGCTATAAACTCAGATATTTAAAATGTGGTTTAATTTAATTAAATTGCATATTATTTAATATTATTTAATATGGAAAGGTGTATCAAAATCTCACAATCTCCATGGTCAAATATGGACATCTGGGTTTCCTGATTCTGCCAGTCCAAGTTTAAGTGCCTAATAGGAACTGCTTTGGTTTCATACCTAACAGTCTATTTCTAGTTTCAATGTGAAAACCCCTGAACACTTCTCTTTTAAAAAATGATACTTTGTATCTCATAAATAAAGTCTTCTACACTGTTAATTAGATTAAGAGGTCTTACCATAGGGTTTCCCGAATAACCTGAGTCTCTGTAACAAAAATTCTGTCATCTGGAACATGTAATGAATCACTACTATGCAAGTGTTGATCCCTATTAGAGAATGAATATTAAAGGTAACATAAATATTTCAAAATAAGTAAAAACATGTCTCAAAAAATATATGCAACTTCCTGGTAACTTACCCAGTAATTAATTAGCAAATAATCAAAATAAATATATATCCTCCCATATTCATTTCCACAAGTAAATTGAACTATTCTCAGAGAAGCACTTCTAGAACAATTTCAATTGCTTTATTTATTGCTGAGGCAAACGTTTTAAAACTGTTTTTTAGAAAACAGTAACTGTAATTTTGTAGTAAAGGCAATAAAACAAACCAAATACGATTTAATATACACCAATCCATTTTGAAAATAACACAAAAATCTAAAATGCAAACTCTAATTCTATAATAATTTCATTTTTAAAATAATTAATAGTTTTGAACTGTGTTTAATTAGAATTGCTAAATAACACCACCAAAAAAAAAAAAAAAAAAAAACCTGGCAAGTTTATATTTCAGGAAAGTATTTAGTGATTTAAATCACAAATCAAAGTTTCTACTGTCATACGTTAAATGAAAAATTTAGCTTCTTACCAGACAGTACCTAAATTGGAATGCAAATGTAAACTATGAGAAAACCGTAAGGGCCTGGCTGTCCAGTACTGAAGGACCACATGTTCTTCTAGCCAGTTTCGGCCATCTGTCTCATCTACAGGAAGGAAATTTAATAAAATATTTAAGTTTGTAATAGTTGATTCTTGGTCAACTTTGCCACAATGTCTAGACTATAGCTTCATTCAAATATGTAACTGAAAATGACTTAGAAAAATAACAACTATCTAACAACATTTATATATTCATTTGTTTAAAATCATACATATATTGAGGCATGCATACAATATTTAACTGTTGGCTAAAAAGTAAAAAGTATTGTTTAATTTTAAAATGACTCCATGAACAAAAAGATGCAAACAGTAAGAATAGTCCAATACCATTAAAGAAATTGAAATGGTAATCAAAGGCATTCCTCAACCACCCCAAAGCTTTAGGACTGGCACTAAACTTTCAAGGATTAGAGAATCTGTATCAAATACAGGTTATTTCAGAAAACAGAAAAAGGAAAGTTGCCTAACATTCTATGAGGCTCAGATAATATAAAACCAGACAAAGGCATGATAAAAAAAAAAAAAGGGAATTCACTGAATTATAAAGATGAAAAATCCTAAATTAAAAAATAGCCAACTAAATCAAATCTTATAATGTAATAAAACAAAAAAACCCACAATATGTTAATGGGAAGATGAAAAACTCAGAAGAGGATGAGAATGATTGCACAACTCAAATGTGATCAATGTCACTGAAATGTACATGTATAAACTGTTTAATGTGTGTGTTTTGCTGTATATTCTCAATAACAACCCTCCCCCCAAAATTATATATATATAAAATAACATAATGATCAAATAGGTATATCCCAGGAATTCAAGGATGATTGAATATCAGAAAATCTATCAGTGTAGTAATAAAACCCAAACCAAACCCATCTGCTATAGAGTCAATTTCTAAGTAGAACTGCCCCATCGTTCTACCATAGTGCAGCTGCTAGGTTTGAACTGGTGACTGTTTAGTTAGCAGCTAAGTGCTTAAACAATGCACCAGCAGCAGGTCTCCTTACTGTAATATTAAAGGAAAAAGAAAAGGATTATCTCATAAATGTAGAATAGCATGGTATAAGTTCAACATTTATTTATAATTAAGGATTCCCAGAGAAACAGAAATAGAAGAAAATTATCTTTCCATTTTAAGGAATATCAATATCAATATCAAATCTATTCCCCAAAAAGCACTTCAGGTACAATTTCTTTCAGGAATTTCATGTCAACCCCTTCAGGATGAGACTAAGTCAGGACACGTACTCTAACTGCCACTGATTACACAGCCCAGACTAGCATAGTGCCTAAGGCATTTGACTACTAACCAGTAAGCTGGCAGTTCAAACCCACCAGCCACTCCTCGGACAGAAGGTTGGGCAATCTACTTCTGTAGTGATACTGCCTCAGAAACCCAAGGAGGGGTTGCTATGAGTCGTGTTCAACTCATCAGCAGTGAGTTTGTTTTTTTTGGTTTATGTTATGAAGAAAACATAAAAATTGGTAGGAAGAGATAAAATGGTCAATATTTACAGTTGATATTGCTCATCTATATTAAGAAACCCAATAGAATCAACAAAATATTATAAATTAATATGAGAGCTCAGCAAAGATGCTAGAAATAAGACAAACTTACAAACTTATAAAAACCATAGTGTTTCCCTACAGCAGCAATAACAAAAAAGGTTCCATTTACAATAACAAAACTATAAAATAATTAGAAATTTAAAAATGAATACTTAAAATCTTTATAATTTCCAAGACCTAGTAACACATAAAAAATGAGAAGAAATGTAAATATTATCATAGTAAAGATATCAATTCCTCCCAAGTTAACTGTATTTTTATGCAAATAATGCCTATAATCAGTTTTTGTGCCAAATGCACCCTCATTCCTCAATTATTTTTGTAAGTATGCAGTTGTTGTTGTTGTGTGCCGTCAAGTCGACCCAACTCATAGCGACTCCTCCTTGGGTTTCTGAGTCGATATCACTACAGAAGTAGATTGCCCAACCTTCATTCCAAGGAGTGGCTGGTGGGTTTGAACCACCAGCTTTCTGGTTAGTCAAGTGCCTTAGGCACTACGCTACCAGACCTCCCCTAAGTATGCTACGCTATGTTTTTCACATGTTGTTGTATAAAAACATGTTGCAACATGAAAAAAATAATTAGCTTAGAGTGCTTACAAAAATACCTTATGGGGGACATATATGGTTGGGGGGCAAAAAAAAAAAGGAACAGGTGTGTAATTTGTGTAAAAATATGGTATATATTTGTAAATTACAGGTGAATTTTTAAAAAGAAAATTATGATACTGCTTCTAAAATGCACATGGATTGCTGTTGTTAAAGCTGATTTTAACAAGATCCCAGGTGATTCCTATGTATATTGGGACGTAAGTTTACCTGGGAATCTGAGGATCTTGTTAAAATACAGATTCTGACTCAGTATATGTGGGATCACTGTCGTCAAGTCAGATCCAACTCATAGCAACCCCTCCTTGGGTTTCTGAGGCAGTATCACTATGGAAGTAGATTGCCCAACCTTCCTTCCAAGGAGTGGCTGGTGGGTTTGAACTGTCAGCCTTCTGGTTAGCAGTCAAGTGCCTTAGGCGCTATGCCACCAGAGCTCGTCAGCAGGAGGAATGAAATAGTTTGAAGCCCTGATTTGACATATATGATAAAGGCTGAATCACAAGTAATGTGGAAAGAATAGACTACTCACTAGATGTTTTTAGGAAAAGTGAGACATGAGAGAAAAACAAGCTGTATACGTTCATTTCATATACAAAAGTAGACCTGCTGTTCACAAATAACCTAAATGTAAAAGATAAAAAAGCAAACAGAAGAAAAATACAAGGGAATATCTTTGTACGGAAAAACTTCAAGAATTAAACACTAAAGTATAATAAAATCACAGTTGAAGAATTCCATGAAAAATGTTAACAGGTGACTGACTAGGAGAAGATAATTGCAATGTCTAAAACCTAGCAGTTAATATATAAATATATAAAGAACTCTTAGGGGTGGGAGCATGCAGGCAGGATATGAAACTCTGCTCATAAGAAAACTGAGCACTGACATCTATGAGAAATTCACAGAAGGGGCAAGCCCAAGTGATGAAGTCTCCAAAATCACTAGTTGTCAGACAAATGCAAATTAAACAAATTAAAAGAACAATGGCCACAATCAGAAGGGCATTATTTTATCAAGTACTGATGAGACTGAGCCATGCCCACCCCCCTTCCCCACGTAAGGATTTTTAACACAGAGGAACTCTTGCTTAGACCCATAATGGACACACAGGAGGATGTGGCTCACAGTACTGGATACAGCAGAAGGGCAGTGTAGGTACCTCAGAGGCTATCAACCAGGGGACGGATAACAGAAATATGGTAGTTGCAAGCTGCAGAATACTATACAGCAGTGTTCTGGTTACCTATTGCCACTCTGAGAAGAAATATACCACAAATGGGATGTCTTAAACAAACAGGAGTTTATTCTTACAATTTGGAGGCTTTAAGTCTAAGTTCAAAGTGCCAAGCTCTAGGAGCTGGGTGAATGTCCCTCAGCCTTGGGCTTCAGCTCTGCCTCCAGCTCCCAGCCCACTGAAGCTAGAGGCTTTTCTTCACTCAGACAGCTGCTGGCTGCTGAGGCTGCCAAGCCCAAGGTTGACAAGTAACAAGGGACAGTCCCAATATTACCAAATCACATGGCAAGCCATTAATCCAAGTCCATTGTAAGTCTCAAGGTCAGCAGAGCATGGCAGGCTGCTGAACAATGACCCGGCTATCTGCTGGGTTCAAGATGCCATAAGCTAGAGACCATTCCCAAGGCTTCTCCTTATATACAGGAAGCAGACCAAATTCCAAAGGCAACTACTCAGCTGCTTGTGGTAGATCCCACCATGGAGTTGATTGCCAGTCTCATCATAGGGAATAACTACCACCAGCTGCCCAGCCACTCAACCAGGCCCAGCCAAGTTGACACACAAACATAACTACCACAAGCTGTTAGAAGCAAGAGAAGAGATGGACATACAGCAACATAGATGGATTTTGAAAAACAGAGTTGAATGAAAAAAGTAATAGAACAAAACTTAAACAAAAAAAACAGTTGTTGTTGAGTTGATCACAACTCATGGTGACCCCTTACGTGTCAGAGTAGAACTGTATTCCATAGGGCTTTCAATGGCTGTGATATTTAGGAAAGAGATCTCCAGGCCTTTCTTCAGAGGTGCCTCTAAATGGATTTGAACTGTTAACTTTTCTGTTAGTAGCCAAATGCTCAATGTGCCACCCAGCAACTCAAACAGAACTTATACATAGCACAGTACCAGTTTTATGTAATTTAAAAACGCATAATACACTAATCAACACAATATATTTTATAAGAATTCAGCAGATCTGAGAATGGTATCAAACACAGTAAAACAGGTGACTGTGACTAGGCTCACAGAGAAAAGGAAATAGGAATGGAAATCTGAAATAGCAGAAGAGAATAAATAAACAAAAGACTCTGCACAGACTAATGATGGGAATGTGCTCTGATCATGATGGATTCCACACTCTGTCTTGGAAGTCCAATTCAAGAATTTAAAACAATGGCAAGAAAAAAAAAAAAAAAACTATTTTATGCCCAATTTAACAAGGTCCAGTTGTGGTGAGTGAGGCCTAGATGCTAATTTCTCCCATCCTGTGGCTATGAGGAAACCACTCCAACTCAGTCTTTGTTTCCTTATCTAGAATATGAAAAAGCAGGATTAGATGACATATTCCCTAAGGTTGCTTCCAGCTCTTTCTAGATTCTACCAATTCATAATTCTTCACTAAAAACTAAAAAGCAGACAATCCAATTAAATTATACAGATCTTTTCCTTTTATTTAAGGACCTCTGGTGGCACAGCGCCTAAGGCATTTGCTAACCAGAAAGTTGGCAGTTCAAACTCACAAGCTACTCTGCGGAAGAAATATGGGGCAGTCTGATTCTATAAAGATTTACCGCCTTTGAAATCCAGTGGGGGTCAATATGTGTTGGAACTCGCTCAGTGGTAGTGAGTTTGGTTTTTCCTTTCATTTAGTTACTAACCTTGGCAAGGTATCTAGGTGGTACAAACAGTTAACTTGCTTGGCTGGTAACGTAAAGGTTGGTTACTCAAGTGTACTTAGAGGCACCTCGGAAGAAAGGCCTGGTGATCTACTTAAAAAATTAGCCACTGAAAACCCTATAGAACTTAGTTTACTCTGACACACATTAAGCTACCATGAGTTGGAGTTGACTCAATGGCAAGTGGTTAACTTCAGTAAAGTAAATCCTCCATTAAAATATAAAATATAAATATAAATTAAGATTAACAGAAAATTCTCAGAATTATTTAAGAACAAAATTGTACCCTAAATCTCTATTCAACATAAATTCTACAGCACTCTGTCTTAGGCACTAGAGTAAAAAGATTTATAAATGGTCACCATGAGTCAAAAATCAACTCAATGGCAGCTAACAACAACAATGGTCTAAAAAGATTTATTTTATAAGGGTGGCCAAAAAAACCCCACCAAACCTGTGCCATCAAACTGATTCAACTCATAGTGTGCCTATCAGACAGAGTAGAAGTGCCTCATAGAGTTTCCAAGGCTATAACTTTTATAGAAGCAGACTGCCGTATCTTTCTCCCATGGGGCAGCTGGTGGGTTCATAACACCAACCTTTCAATTAGCAGCCTAACACTTAAGCCATAGTGCCACAAAGTCAATCAATACAATGAATTACATGGAACTGATTCTCAAAACCTGCTTTCCTTCTAGGAAATATTTCTACTATAAAATCTCAACATCAAAAAACACAGAATACCTTTCCAGCTCACACAAGGCCCTGGTATTCTTTTTTGATCTTGTTCTTCTAATGGTGTCCTGTCCACCTGAATCCCAGAGTCCTCTCTGCTTAAAGGCTGTTGATCATCTTCGCCTTCACTTTCTTCAGACCAATTCTGATTAAAACAAAACAAAATGCAGCTTATCTTTAGAGAATATAAAAATTTGAGGTACTTAGGGAAAAGATTAAGAAAATTTCACAAGAAAAGCAAAAACAATACCAAATGGAATTTTATTCTAAATGTCTTGAATGTATCTATTATATGAATGAATGATTTTTGGTGGCAAAAATCCTAAGATTTATAGCTCCTTACAGGATCTTTGTATTCACACCACTTTCTAGTACTAATAACTTGGTGCAAAATCTTAATAAATCTTCCATAATTACTTTTCTGTTGTTGTTGTTGTTGTTATATGCCGTCGAGTCGGACCTGACTCATAGCGACCCCTCCTTGGGTTTCTGAGGCAGTGTCACTACGGAAGTAGATTGCCCCATCTTCCTTCTGATGAGTGGCTGGTGGGGTTGAACCGCCAGCCTTCTGGTTAGCAGTCAAGTGCCTTAGGCACTAAGGTACCAGAGCTCCTAATTACTTCTCTAGTTTAGTGAAAAGTATTCTTGTTTTAGCTAAGTTGCTCTGTTGTTGTTATGTGCCTGTCCACGGAATTAGACTGCCCCATCTTCCTTCCGAGGAGTGGCTGGTGGATTTGAACCGCCAGCCTTCTGCTTAGCAGTCAAGTGCCTTAGCCACTATGCTACCAGAGCTCTAAGGCCAGAAGAACCCACAAGAATCAGCTATATCAAAACATATTTTCTGTATCTCACTTGGCATGTATTTATATTTTGAATAACAAAACTACTGTCACTTACTGGTGTGTCTACACTTGGAACAAAGTCAATTTCTTCACCTTCCATCAAGTATTTTCCCCAGTCAAAATTATCTTTCTTTTCTAAAATGTAAAAGAAAAACCTATCAGCTTCATCATAAATCTCTCTGAAAAATGCCAGGACTATAAAAAAAGTCTAACAAAACTCAAAATGTACTTAGAAAATGAAAGCTCAAAAATACCAGAACACTTAAACTGCTAGTCTAATACACTTTGCATCTAAATTTTTATATCTTCAAAAATTTTTTTTCTTATAATTGCACATAGTTTAACTTACAAAATCAAAACATACATTTAAAATGAAATTCTGCTTCTCTGAAAGTCATAATTATATACACCAAAGTAACAGAAATATTTTAGCTGCACTGACATCTACAACCTTGTATAAAAATCTCAGTGTCTGATAATTAAGCAATAAAATAAATTTCTCCTTTATTTTTAATACTTTAAGCTATTTGGTAACATACCTACTTCTTTATCTCTTGGTGTTTCCACATAATTGCTATTTGAAGGGGAATCAGAAAGACACAGAAGAAGTGATAGTATGGAATAATGTGCATCTGTCTTAAAACAAAAAATACAGAACACGAATTACTGATGTTGGTAAGTGCTTTCCAGTTTGAGTAAAGAAAAGATGCCCCACACATTTCTGTCTTTAACTTTTTTCTGATTTGAGAACATATAAATTATACCTAAATAAATGTTAATGTGTACAATTTTTTTTTAATAGCAAATGTACACATGAGTCTCACAAAGCCATCTGAAGGCTTGAATTCTATATTTCTAACAAGTAAAAGACTGGATGAGACTTTTATTCCCCTGAGAAAACTGAATGTCTTTGGAGGATAACATTAATATTTAAAAGTGATTATTCTCAAGTGACAATATGCATTATGAACTTGAAAAATGTTCACATATATTGCCTATAATCTTTACAGAAGCAGATTGCTACGCTTTTTCTTCTGCTGAATGGGTTTAAATCGCTACCCTTTAGATTAGCATGGGAATGCAAACCATTTGCACTACTCTGAGAAGAGATAAAAAATAAGAGACAGTTTGTGAGAGGAAGAATTCAAATTTGGTTTGAATCATACTGAATTTGAAGGATTATTGACATACTGAGATGGTGATGTCTAGCCAATTGAATTCATGGATTTAAATTAGGAAAGAAAATGTGTTACACAAAAGACTTAGACTTAAAAAGCATTCACACATTGGTAATGTTTGAACCAGAATTGTGGAGAGAGACAAAAGAAAATAATCATACAAATTCAAAGAATGTATGTGCTAAGTCAGTACATAGGAACCACAGTGAGGTGACTCGTTGTTGTTATGTGCCGTCAAGTTGGACCCAACTCATAGTGACCCCTCCTTGGGTTTCCAAGGCAGTATCACTATGGAAGTAGATTGACCCCATCTTCCTTCCGAGGAGTGGCTGGTGGGTTTGAACCACCAGCTGTGACTCATTAAAACCAGATAAATAAGGTTGGCATTAGAAATTTACAATAGAGCAACATAAAATACATCTGAGAAGAGTTATTTCAAAAATCTCAAAACAACTGAATGGTTATTAAAAATATTCCCTACTCTAAGAACAATCATGGCCCAAAATATGGCCCAATCGACCACAGTAGCAGGGGACATCAAGCTCAATTGGCGTAACATACTATATAAAACATTGTTCCACCTCCTACTTTGGCAAGTAGCGACTGGGATCTTAAAAGCTAGCAAGCTGCCATCTAGATGCAATGATGGGTCTCTCCTCGTCCAGAGCAAAGAA